GGTCCCTTCCAACTCCAAATATTTTGTGATTCTGTGATTCCTGTGATGAAATCAGGAGGAACTGTGTGTGTATGTCCAGGAAGAGTGGGTTGGTTGTGGTCAGCCAGTGAGACATGGTCCTGGTTCCCCCAGTTGCTGCGCAGAGGCTTAGCTGTGGTCAGCATCACTACTTGAATGTTTAAAGGTCAGCCACATGTAAAAGCTTGTAGGATTAGGACAGGAGTTTCTTTGCAAGTATAAATTACACGGTTTGTTGTGGCATGCTAACCCTTTTGATTTGCAAAATAGCCTGATGAGTACACAGTGCAAAGTGATGTGAAAAGGAAAGGTTTATGAATCTCCATCATTTAGCTGTAAGGAGCACATAACCAGTGAAAAAGTGGATGGCTGTTGAAGCAGCGTGTGATTGTGGTTATATTTAATAGCAGAGGACAAGCTGAATGCATACACTCACAAGCCTAACTGTGCATACAAATCAGTGAAGTCTTGTAGTCAAGATTATCATTCTGAAGCTATTATAGTAATTTAAAACAAGATAGTTTTAAAAAATACAGTGATGTATGCCTGTTAACTGTATTTCTAATGATTTGCACATTAGATTTTTAAAAATCAAATTCTTCCTCTCACTGACTTGAGTGAAAATCTAATCAAATTAGCATTTTAGAATATATGACCATTGTGGGGTCATTTTCAGAATATAATAATACCTTATATATTATACTTTAGCTGTTATAAAGACAGAGAAATATGCAAGACAGGTACTGTGGGGGACTTGGGAGGTTGATTCTAATGAGCACTTTTCTGTTTGTCTACATTAGGTTTTTATATAGCATCTATTACTTTGGTACCTACGCACTGACATCTCCACACTGCTTGATGGTGATATAGGGAGGATTTGTATCAGTTTAGTGAAGGTATCACTTTATTAATGCATTATTGATATTTTATTCATAAGATAAGCTTGCTATAACGTTCATTTTAAATAGTTTAGCAATTGCTTATTTCTTTTCAGATCTGTTTGAAAGTTTTATTAACTTCAAATGATCAGAATTCTTCATCATCACTTTCTTTCAGTGGACAATACCAATTTTACCACCTGGCTATATTCACATACATTTTTTAATGTTATATGTTGATTTGTCAGATTTTTAAGATTGTTTGAAGGACTTAATCAAACCAGAATACCCAATATTTATATTTATCATATACATACATACATACATATATATATATATGGTAACTGGAGAGCAGTCAGTATTGTCTCATCCTACCTCTCACCAACTGAAGTGGGAGTTTTGACTACCTAGGGTGAAAGCTCTTCCTATTAATGCCAGAACTGTTTGTATTATGACTCTTAGCATGGAATTTGGTGAGTTTAGATTGTTGAGGTAATGATACAAATAATGGTATTCTTCAGTTTGAAGACTCTAAAAGGCAATGGTAGGCTCCTTGGTCATAATTGCAAGAGTTGACTAGAGCTCATTTGTCTGCACTGAATACTTTACATTTAAATTAAGATTGTGTGAAGTAGTGATGGAAGGATTACTCTGTGTGAGAGATGAATGAGGGAAAGCATTGTAGTCTGTGCCGAGGGAGGATAAGTGCTGAGTTCATCTGCCATAAGAGATGGATTACAACAAATCTGAAGTGGAAGAAGGGTTGCTTAGGAATTATTAGCAGCGGTTTGCATTTAAGTAATCTATTAGTGCATTAATATATGTTTAGTTATGTGATGTGTAATCTACCAGGGGAAAGTGGAGTTTATTTCTAGATATATTGAAATTATACGTTTACAGTATAGGCAAGTCGTTAATAAATCTGGAGCTTCCATGCAAAAAAATACATCGAAACAAAAAGATAGGATAAACAAAAATCTCCAAAGGATCCAGCAGATGGAAAATGTGCATGCTGTTACCACTTGTGCAAGATTTAACTGTTAGTGAAAAAGTATTTGATAAGTAAATTTGCAGCTAAAACACAGAGAGCAATGGTGGAAAAGCACTTTTCTTTGCACATAGTGGCAGTAGTGCTTACTTTACTACATGTACTCAGAGCCTCATAAAGTGGCTTTCAAAATCTTGGTTTCTTTCAGACGCTGGAAGAGGTGGTTGCAGGTTGCCCTCTCTGTCTTGTCTCCCATTCCCCTATGAGCACCAATTTGATGGGCATGACTAATTAGGCTGTATATTTTTTATATGGCCATAGTGCATGCATAAACTTTCTATGTCTAAGCATTGCAAGGTGACTAGAGCTGTATTTCCACCAAGGAGATGCAGGAAAGGAGTGTGGTAGAGCTAAGGAAGATGCAGATAGCGTGCATTTCACCTTGTCCTGCCCACAGGGCGTGTTTGCCCTTGGGCTGTGTGGTAGTGACAGGTTGCTCAAGGAGCTTTTGAACAGGTTCACATGGGTCATGTAGGCAGTTTAAGTGCAGCTTCACAGGGCTTCACAGTTGCAGGAACAGGGATGGTCTGCTCCAGGTACCTGACCCAGCTCATTTAGCACAAGTGGAATTAGCAAATTCAGCTTAATACAGCTCCTCTCACCTTGCTGGGTCAGCAGCATCTATGATTGACAGGTCGGTTGGTAACCACTACTGTAGCCATAGCAGCAAGGATACTCAGGCTTTCTCATAATTGTGAGAAAATATATACTTTCCCCTTTTAATAGCCCAGCTAGCACCTCTGGAACTTCTATGAAAGGACCTAGGAAACAGACAGTCATTAGGTACTGCTAGAGTTCAGTCCTCAGTATATGTACCCCCAGAAAAGGATGGCTAAATCTAAAGAAATAGATAATTTTAGGGTTCTTTTGAACAGCTCAGTTATCAGCCAGCTTGGAGGAGAAGGTGGGTAAAAATATCTAGCAATAGTATGATAAGTGCATAAGCTGAATGTACAGATGCATATACACTATGGTATATAGATACACATTAAAATACGAATACTGGACTGTTGTATTCTTACTTCTGTACCAGTAAAAGTACAAAATCTTGTTTGCACAAAGTTTTTCCCAGTACTAGGGCTCAACTGATACTGATCCACTTTTCGTAAACACATTTGAATACAGTTATATTTGCTTGCCTGTCAGATATTTGTTAATAGCCATTCCACTGACATCTTTGTTATGCTGCTGCTTAGCTGACAGAATTTCATCTGCATAAATGGGTGGAAAGTCCTTTCCTCACATGTCCAACAAAGTGGAGACAAAGTGCCTGCCAATGTTTTAATTTCTTTTGCATGTTCTGGTTAGAGTGAGAAGAATGCTTTCACTCCACAGTGTCATGAATATGGTAATCTATGGAAATCACAGAAAGCAGGTACTTAAGTTAAGCACATACTGTACTACAGGAATCCCTGATGAATTCAAGTCTCTTCTGTTTAGAGAAGATGTTGTTGTCTATTAAGTGACAGACTGCCAGATGTTCATGAAGTAGCACAGTAATGTGTATCAGTATCTTCTTTTCTTCACCCCAGAAGGTAACATTTTCTTTATCATCTATGTCATCCTGGCTTTTGATTGTAAATGTCTAAGCTTGCTTCAGATATTAACTCCTTTTTGTTTTATTGATGATTATTTCATGACTTCAGTACATTAGTAGAATGTAAGTTTTTGCTGCACTATAGTAAGCCTATAATCCTAAAATCTTTTCCATCACTTGGTGTATGTAAGCTGCTGAAAAACCAAACATTTAAGTAGAACATGAATAATAATTTGTTCGTGATTTTGAGTTAGTAGAGAAAATTTTGGCAGTGTTAGAAAAATGATGAAAGAAGAAAGAATTGTTGTTTTAAATAACGGTTTTATCTGCACGCTGAAGCTTGGTGCCATATATCTCATGGTGAGGTCACAGCAATGTGTTTTCCTAGAACACACATTAATGTTCCGTTTAGTCTCAGAATTACTGCAGGGCTGGGGGTTAGCTCACCCGCTTTAAATAATCATGGTCTAAAGAGCGGGCAGAACCATTGAGTAACTAAATGTAATGGTATATACACATGCAGTGTGGGGAGCAGGGGTTACAGGAACAAGTATATGTGCAGTAATGACAGATTATTGAGACAGCACTGTTTATGAAGCAAATAGAAGTTCCAAGAGAAAAAAAAATCAAAATAACTGAAAGGCAGAGTTCATTTTTTTCTGAAGAATTGTTGTATTCTGTCCTTTATTTTGAAGGCATTTCCACATCATTACAGGCAGTGATGCCAGTAATATCTCAGCTCAAAGAAACAGAGCTGTGAGAATTTGTGAACCCTTTAATACAAGGGACAAATTCTTGCTGACATAGCTACAGCAGCTCTGGGGACTGTGACAACTGCTGTTGGACAAGAAACTCACAGTCAGATGGGACCTGATGGAGTGAAGTATCCCATCCTCTCCAAGGCATGCTTCCTGCCCACGTGCTATGGGGAGGAGTCTCACAGGGTTCCGTGCTGCAAGGCTTGACGTGAATCTTGCTGCAAGGCTTGACGTGAATCTTGCTGCAAGGCCTGATGTGAACCCTGCTGCAAGGCTTGATGTGAACCCTGCTGCAAGGCTTGACGTGAACCCTGCTGCAAGGCTTGACGTGAACCTTGCTGCAAGGCTTGACGTGAACCTTGCTGCAAGACTTGATGTGAACCCCATCTGGGTGACTCCTTCAGGCCACAGGTCCTTACCACGCAGTGTATGGGAAGGGCCCATACGTTAGCATTGCCAGGCTGACACAGAGGAGAGCAGCTATTTAAGAGAATTTAGCTTTGAATGTCTGAAAGAATAAGTATGTCTGAAAGAATAAGAATTAGCAGCTTCACTTTCTCCATTGCCACACGTACTTAGTTTTCATTAGTTAAGCAGTTTACCTGATTAGTGGGGAAAGCTTGTGCAAAATATTCTCTCCATATATCTATGAATATGAATATATGCATTATTTGCCACCTTCAGGGGAACAGAACTCAGCTTTTGACTTTATTGTTGAGTTGTTTTCTTTCCCAGGAGCACAAGCTGCCTTGACACTGTGACAAGACTTTGTTGTTGCTGTTGCTGTTTGTTGGCACTGGGACTTTGTGTTTCCTTCCTCTATGGAAATGTTGGAGTCATGCTTCGCTGTATGCTCTGAGAACAAGCGAAAAAGCAGATACCACTTCAGGATACCTTAGTAATCTTTTTTTTTGTTGTTAATGTAAAGTTGCAAGAAGGTGGAGGCAGACCACTGAATGAAAATTGTTGCGCAGTGTGAAGTGTGGCTGAGGCCAGATGTACGTGCAGCATGTAATAAGGATTCTAGATATCTGCAGCCGTTTTGAGCACATTAGACTTTAGAAAAAAATAAACTTGAAGGATCCTAAAACAACTGGAAAAGACCATTGAAACTGAAACAGCTTCCTCTGGAAAACCTTATACATTAAATATAGAAATTTTCCACATGAACAAATAGGGGTCAAACATGACTGAAACCTTTGTGCTGAGGGCATATAAAATGACCCATACAAACCTGATTTAAATTCTTGTAGCTCCTGGGTGAGGGCAGCTGTCTACCTTGCTTAAATGTTAATATTTCCCTTATCTGATTGCCTTTCCATACCATGCTCCCACTGTCAGGGGTCCTACTTCACCTATTACTCTCTTCAAAGCTACTCATTCTTGTCTGCAACCTTCATAGCTTTAACTGTGTCTGAGGTAGTCACTTGGTTGTGTGGCCTCCCAAGCAGTTTCACTCAGCTTTTTGCCATCCAGCTGCTTGTCTCATCAGTTCTCTGAAGCCACCGAAGAATCTTCCCAGAGGTAGTTTTATCAAGGGAGCAAAGGGATGGAGCCCAGCTTTTCTTCACATTTACAGAAAGGAGTGGTATTTGGGGAGGAAAGCTAAACCAACTACACATCAACCATTCTTCATAGGAAGGGAGTAGTCAGCATGGATTTATGAAGGGAAAACCACATTTGACCAATTCAACAGCCTACTACAATGAGATGACTGGCTTGGTAGACAAGAGGAGAGCAGTGGGTGTTACTTTAGTGAGGCTTTCAATGCTGACTCCCATAGCACCCTCATAGACAAACTGGCAAAACCTGCTGTAGCTGAGCCTGCTCCGAGCAGGGACATGGACTGGATGGTCTCACGACGTCTCAACCACTCTGTGATTCTGTGGAAGTAGCTGACCACCTTTGTCCTTTCCAATCTTTGAGAGAATTCGTATTTTCTACTCCTTTCTTCTCTCCTTCTCTGATGGAAAGCTGTTTGTTAAATAGTTTCAGAGAAAGATCTATACAGAAAAACAAGCCACAGAGAAGGAAGATGAAAAGCCAGTGCTCCCTAGAATTGTTTATGTAAGTTCTTCCTTTACCTTGTGACCACAGCTCCCTGAAAGTCATTTTTATGAAAGTTACTATTTTCTTGTGTCCTTTTTGATGCCCCATCTCATCAGTACATACCAGCAGGATATACTACAAATCCGCTGGAGTAACCATAGGAGACTGTTGCTTATTTTTTGTTTACGATGATACCTAGCTGTGACAACTGAAATCTGGGTGTTCTAACAGTAGATAGCAGCCAGCGGGAGACAACTCCCAAATAAGCAACCTGTGAGTACATCATGGAGACATACATGGACTTCTGCAGAATAAGGAGCAGACCAGTTTCAAAGGTAGAAATAAGGTCAGGGTTGTCTGACGCATATTGCACTGCCCTGCTCACTGCCCTGTTCAACCAGTTAGGCTACTTGCTGGTGTGCCCGTAAGAATGCTGCAATCTGAAGTGGAGCATTCCCTCTACTCTTTACCATTAGGAAACCAGCACCTTTTTTAGTTCATAGTATGCTCAATTACCTTCAGATTGATCCGTGAATAAATTATAATCAAAACAGACTTATTCACCTTAAAGCTCTCTCAGCTTAAGGTTTCATTGTTGATTCATTATGTTGTCAGTTGTCTATTGGGAGGATAATGCTTCTTTATATCTGGATGGAGACAATTTTAGTGGAAGATACTGTTATCTTTAAATGAGTAGGATTTAGCTTTTCTGGTGAGAACAAATTCATCAATGATGAATCCCCGGAGAAGCTACTGAAACAAAAAATCACAATGTTGCTGGAGACTTATACAGTTCATCAGTTAAAAAGCGGCTTTAGGAAGTCTTGGAGGGGAGAAGGATTTGGAACCTTTCTTTCTGTAAAATACCCCAGCACAATATTTCAAGCTTCCAGTTTTGGGATAATGAAATTATAAACAATAAAATAATGCCACTTAATATATTTATTTTGGCTCCATTCTTGATGTTATCCCTCCAATAGAAACACATTGAATTATGGCTATATAGAGACAGATGGATACAAATAATGCTGCTATAGACATCACTGACACAGATATACAAGTAGACAAGAATTATCTAATTACTCTGTTTGTTGCAATCCTCTAAGTACTTGCCATGATCCACACATTCATATTAATTGTTTTTTTCTAAGCAGATGTTGATATGAAAAAGATATCAGTGTATGGAGAGTTTAGTGACATTAGAATATCTGGAAATTAAAAACCAAAACAAAGAAACAAAAAATGCCACAAAAAACATACTGTAGAAAGATTTCAAAAGCAAACAGAGTTAAACTCACCAAGTTCTCTGCTTGTGCTTTGTGCTAATTGTGCTGTTAAATCCCCTATGTGCTTAGGAAAATATCCCCTACAATGATTAGAGGTGATTTAATTTTAAACTCTCTTAAACATCCGTCTCTTCAGGACTTATTTCAACATTTCCACTTGTGCTGTATCCACTAACTCACTTCATTAAAAGATTGTTTGCCATTTTGTATGGCCTTTGACTCCAAAATGTTTGAAACCACAGCTCTGAACAATAAGCAGCCTCATCAGCGTTCCCTATATCTGTGCATTACTCCAAGGGGAACCATCAATAATTTCTTCCTAAGCTCCTGAGGCTACGTTTTCATGTATTATTTATTGTTATAGAAAAGATTGCTGGTGAAAACTGAAAAGTGTTGTTTGATGAAATTCGGCTTGGCTGCTTGTGAAGTCCTGTTCTCCAAACACAGAATAGCCAGACCACTTGTATGGGCACACAGTCACCTTCTGTTAAGTCAGTGGAAGCTCACTGGGTATGCCCAAGCCTGGACTAAAACCTACTTGTTTCCTTAATTGTTTTAAATTCCATTTAATCGGTTTCTTGATGGCAAAACAGAAATGCGCAGCAAAGACTAAGGTTGAATGTTAATTTTCTAGCTTATTGATAATTTAATTTATTTTTTAAGGATATGGGTTATATAGTTTGATTTAACCGTATGCACGTCATTACGAAACATCTGAATTATGCTGTTGATGGCAATGCACACTCTTCAAAATTTCTGCTGTACATTCCAGCTGGCAGCTATATTAGATGTAAAAATCTAAGAACTTCCATCTCACAACTTAGAAAATTAATTAATTGCCTTTGTACTTGACTTTTCACTTATACACAAATATTAATCCTTTTTCCACACTTTTCCTTAGATCACCTATTTCATTTCAATATACTCAATATTTCTGTCTGTAGTAATTAGGCGATTAGACCCACATTAAGAGAACAAAAGAGTAAAAGATTTATTCTGCAAAGATTTGGCTTTTCTTCCCAAAGATGATCTTCAATCAGTCAGGCCATGAGCAACCGTCTCCTCTCTACTACTTCAGTTAAAACCTCAGCGAAATTAGCTTTGCTACCTACTCTGAAACTCAGCAATTCAATTCCTGGCCAGACAGTGAAGAGTCCAAAAACGCTTTGTCATCAGGTCTCCTGCCCTCTCAAGCCCAAAGTTGTTGGCATCAGCACATAAATTATGGAGAGAAAATAGTTTCTCTGTGACACAGTTCCTACTTATTTGTAGCCAAAATGTATTTCCAATTGATGCAGCCTAGCAGACATACAAGACTATCTTTTAGAAAAAATATCTATTTTCTAGATTTTTGCTAAAAGTCTTAGGCTTTCTAAAAGTCATACAAAGAATTGAGTCTCTATGTGTGTGCTTTAGAGCCTACTGATTAGATTGAAATTAGACAAATTCTTCCTTCTACTCATTTTCCTGTTTAAAATAATTCTGGTTTTGCTGTCTTACTTGACTTCAGTATGTAAGACTGTTACCTTACTGCTGTTTGCAGTAATATTTCAAGCCTTGTTTTAAGACATCCTAGAAGATTTCATTTCCAAGATCATGTATGGTAACTGCGCAGAAAGGAACTATGTTTGATGTCTGTAAGGAAGCCCTTGAACATGACATTCAGGAACAAAGTTGCCATTGGACAGATAAAACAAAAGCCTTTTGCTGGTGGGCAAGCACAGGCTACATCTAGATTTGGGACAGATGGGGTCTGCAACATCCCCCACAGTTCTGGTCTAGCGTTTGCCTACGGTGAGGCTTTGTCCCAGAGTTCGGCTCAGTCCCAGGCTGCAAGAGGGCACCTCCTCTGGAGAGCACCATGAGCACCATGCAAGTCTTCTGACTCAAAGTTAAAAATGTGAGGCCACAAACCAAGTCTTAGAGGCAGGAAAGCATTTCAAGGAGCTCAGCCTCTGGCAGTATGCTCACAGTGCCAAAAACATAGCAGCCAAGAAATCCTTTATTTGTCATAACAAGAAGCCTGAGGTCCCAAGGTTGTGTATCGTGACTGACAGGGCTCGTTGAGGAATTTTTGTTCTAAGGATTTGCAAAAGAGCAAGGCAACCTCTTCTGGATTTACTTAATTTAAAAAAAATAATAATTTCTAAATTTTTTAATAATTCTAGTTTTAAAATTCACATTGAAATTCCTTCTTAAAAAATTGATAACCACAGCAGTACTGTATCTTGTTCGATATGCTCTTTGAGGTTGTATTATTAGCGTGAATTAATGCTAGCAGCTGCTGGGGCTATGTATCCCCTGTTACTACCTGCTAGTTTCTGCAGTACTGCAGTAGCTTCTGGACGGGGTTTAGCTAGGTGAATAAAACACTTTTGCAGAATAAGGATCTAGTTTCAGGGGAGGAAGGGCATGGTCATTTGCATGAAGCAAAAATCCATGTTTTCTACCATTTTTCATTCACCTACCTCTGTGATTGTGGCACGCTACAGTTGTCCTTATCTCTGCTAGGTAAGCAGAGGGACTTTTTCTTTCAGGAAGATGGGTGTTTTATGAAATCTGAACCAGCACTTTCATGTTCTTGGGTGAGACATGATTCAGTGAAATTTGCAGTTCAGTGAAATCTTCCTCTAGAGTTTGCTTAATTGGGTTCAAGGATTAACTGTTGCAGAAAAGACTGCAAGTGGGACACAGAGGTAAATTAGGGCATTAGAATGTGTTTCAGTTTGTTTGGTCTTTGCTAGCCTTACTTTGACAGGTCAAGACAGCCTTCTGTTATCAGAATGCAAAATACATGTTTGTAGGCTTTAAAAATATATATTGATATATTCAGATATCCATACAATCTCAAACACTGGCGGAACCCTTCTACGTAAACGGATGGTTTTATGATGTCTTTCCACATACCATAGAAATAAAGTTATCCATTTGAATTATTTAACATGATACATTTTTATGTATAAGCAAGTATGCAATGGGGAAATATAAGACTGTTGGATGCTGACCTGCAATTCAGCTATTTTTCTGCAGTGGTGTATTATTCTTTTAATATTCAATAGATATTTTCAAGTCAGGCCCTGAAGTTCATATTTTATTTTCATTCACTTCTCACTCTGGTACAGTCTCACTCATTCCAATTCCAACTTCCCGAATAAGAAGCAAGTTGCACTCAGCAAGGACTTAGGATCTCGCCTTTGGGATCAGCCTCACCTTTTTGCTATGCCTGCTCATTAAGCATAATCATATTTCCTCATTTTTCTTTCAGAAACTACCCAGTTTTGGGTCTTACCTGGAGCAGCGCAAAAAGATAATCGCTGAGAACAAGATTAAACTGAAGGAACAGAGCATGGCTGCTGTGCTTCCTAAGAAAAAGCATTTCATTCCGAAGAAGCCCATTCCAGCAATCAAGGTAACAAAAATCCATGCTTACGCATAAGAAACGATCAGCCATCAGGCACTTGACATGCACAGTCATTTCTAGCAGTTTGAGTTGGTTATTACTGCTTTTAAGCTTGTTAGAGGGCATCAAAGACAACTATTTATGCAGACTTTCTGGCTTTTTACTGAAATCGATGGGAAATTATTTGTGATGTACGTGTATAGGTATTTCCCTAATGTCATTTTTCAAAATGAAGATATTCAGGCAATGGAACAGTAATTGTAGAACAAAGCATGGGTAATGCCTTGAAGAATGAAGTAGAGCTGTTAGCAATTTCTTTCCGTTTGCATGCTACAGCGTGAGCTCCGTTCATGATACCTTTTGATTACTTGCGATGTACTAAAACCCTCCATCTTTCATGTAGGATCAATGGAAAAGGTTGGTGTTCGGTACATATGAAAGCTGTGTCATAGGTTTGCAGACTGAACTTTTAAAGCTGGAGAATCTTTGTCTAAGTAGCTGATCCACCGCCTACAATGAGTAAATGTCAAGGTGAAAATAAAACCTGTGACCCCATCTACTGCATAATCCATACATTGGAGCTTTTCTCTTCCCTTAGATAGCAAATAAATGTCTATAAAATGAAACGTCAGAAGCTAATTATTCTAGGTGTTCACTTTAGACCTTACTTAAACTTCATGTCTGAACAGGAAAAAGCAGCAGGCTTTTTTTTTTAATCAGAATTATCATGTGGGCCTTTTTATAAAGCAGTGTGAAAATTATATCTGTTGAGCTTGTCAACTGTCTTCCTCATATACGTGAGAATATCAGATATCTACAGATAGGTCACTTTCACTGTATGATCAGACCTGTAGGAATTCTTGCAAAAATAAGGCCAAACATAAAGTACAATACAAGCAGTGGCTCAAAATAACACGTAATTCTCAAGAGAATTTTTCAGTTTACCAGCACATGCAGTAGTCCAGGCTAATTGGTAGGACTGGAAAACCAACCGAGGAGAAATTTGGAGTCATCTTCCTGCTTAAGTTAAATGGTTTGCCACTTCTGTAGGCCTCTCTCAGGTTTTTGGACTGCTTATTTTGGTGTGTATCACGCTATTGAAAATTGCTCCCCTCCTCTCGTGCTGAGGTTCCCTTCTTTATGTACACAAGAAGTTCCAAAGAACAGGAAACTACAGGCATTTTCAAAGCCTACTTGACCTCAGAGGTTTTGTGGTTCTGTTCTCTTTGCAGGGAGAGTATTGATGTGGGGGAAAAGAGAAATAAGCAGCAGCACCAGCCAATAACTGCATTTTCAATGAGATAGCTTCCTTCTGAAAACAGCAGAAAACCAAAAAACTGATACCATCCAAAAGCAAATAAATTGAATGTAGGAAAAAGTTTAGGGAGAGGGAAAACAGACATCGAGACTTGAAAAAAACCATAAATAAAAAGTTGAGGTCAATAATTTATCAAGCCTAACTCCAAGTACAAAAGCAAAAAAGAACCAAGTAGTATGAGAGATTAGAAAGAAGAAAACAGGCCCTGCTGCAGGGAAGAGGAAAACTAATTCCCCAAAACAAAAACTTGGTTTACAAAGACAGAGAATTCTTTTCTGTGGTGTCTGTGAGAAGCTTCTCAGTCAGAGAAATCAGGTCAGCATCTTTCTCACACCTTCATTTAAATGAGACTGAAAAAGACTGAAGCAATTAGAAGGTAGGTACCACCAAAGCTGATTGCTGACAGTTGTTCAGTCTGACCATCTCTTTAGAGGGAATGTTTTCACCATTTAGCAGCAATGAGAGAGGCCCACTAAGAAATAGAAAAATACCTGGGTTTTCCTTGAAGTAGGGAACTTGCTGCTACCAAGAGACATTTTAATAAAGTTTATTATTAATAAATCGAGGAGAAAATCTGCCAAGAGGATTCAGAATATTCTTTAAGGAAGGTGAGTGAAGCTTAATGAAAAGAAGCGACTTATCTGAGACCCTTCCCTGATCAGAAAGTCTCTGTGGAGAGAGGCAGAGGAGCTTGGACTTGAGTGATTTATTTGTAACTGTCCAAGAAGTGTTCACATTTAGAATTACAACTCCCAGACTGTCTCCAAGCGGTTCTGTCTTGGCTAATGCCCTGGACAGCAGAGAGAATATGTTCTGTTAGTTCAGACTAGGTTTTCAGGGGATGGGAACGATCAGCTCTTATAGTTCCCAGCCCAACTCTAGTTCTCCGGAGCAGCGAAGAGGTGTGCTTGAAGGCTGATCACACCTGGGAGATGCTGTCCTTCTAAGAGCTACCACCCCTGCTTTGGCTGGTTGTGTTTTCGAAGGGTTGCAGCAAATTTCCTGATGCTTGCCCAGAACTCCCTCATCTGTCTAATCGGCTGTTCGGTTGGTGATATGTAAATTCCAACATTTGTTTAAATTCCACATGCTGCCAAAATGCCTTTTTTTATAGATTTAAAAACCCTCTGTGATTATCCAAAATCTAATTTAATTTTTGGACAGCTTTTCCCATGGCTTTTCTCTTTATTTTCTCTAGTTTTCCGTATTAATTGAAACTGCATACTTTGATATTCAGCAGAGTTGTTTCTTCTTTTCTCACTTGTCTGTAATACCAGAATTTCTGCCATATATGAATACATGCCCTGGATCTTTTAAGCTGTGTTTTTGTACAGCTCCCACACACGTGTTTGCCTACCTCAGGTTAGCTCCTTATTACTTTAATTTCTTTCCTTATACATTCCTGTGGTTTTTTCCCCTAATAATTTGGTTCTTTGTCCTTCAGGGCCTATGCCATAATATTTGGTCACCGTTTATTTGCTTTTTATTGGATCTTTTTTTACTCCACAAGTCTTGCTGTAGAGATTGCCCTGTTTGGTAGCTCAAACACTCTTCCATAGCTCTGTTTGTCGGCTTAGCTGGGGCATGATGTTTTGTTCCACATGCTGGAAAATACCCATAGCGATCCTCAAGCTTAAATTCTTTGTGGTTGAACTATTTTTCACCCTTGTGAGTACACATATGTTTACATGGTCTTTTGTACATACATATATGCAAGTCTTTTTCTACGGGTGCCATAAGCACGCAGCTGGAAGCCAGCACCTTGGGAGGCATCTGGCCACATTTAGTCCAGTGGTGTATTTAATCTATAAGATCCTCTTGAGAAGTGAGGTGCACTGATCTAGACACAGCACTGTTATTCCAGGACAGCTTACCACTTGCATTCTTCCTGACATGTATCTGGGTGGTTCAACCTGAGTAGTTTTAGCTTGTGTTTGCCTGCCTGGAAAAGACCGTATTGTAATCTTCATTATAAACATGGAGCTGTTGCGTATTTCAGGTGGAACTGTGCATGTGTCTCCCATAATTTATGGGACTTTTAGGTCTCCTTACCCCAAGTATTTGCTGCAACATGATTCACAGCAATAATCTCTTCTGCAGTAACCCATAATGATCCCTTCTTAATCGCAGTACCTCAGAGAATATTCTCATGACATGCGACAGTTTAAGCAAATTTAAGTTAGTCTTCATATAGGAGGAGAAATCCTAGAGTCCAAAACTCCTTTTTGCCTCCCTGCTCTGACTGGCAACCAGGACTGCCTCAAGTGGGAATAGAATAGAATAGAATAGAATAGAATAGAATAGAATATTTAAATTAGAAGAGACCTACAGTGATCATCTAGTCCAGCCGCCTGACCAATTCAGGGCTGACCAAAAGTTACAACATGTTATTAAGGGCATTGTCCAAATGTCTCTTAAACACTGACTGGTCTGGGGCATCGACCACTTCTCTAAGAAGCCTTTTCCAGTGTTTGACAACCCTCTTGGTAAAGAAATGCTTCCTAATGCCCAGTCTAAACGTCCTCTGGTGCAGCTTTGAACCATTCATCCTATCACTGGATACCAGGGAGAAGAGATCAGCACCTCCCTCTCCACGTCCCCTCCTCAGGAAGCTGTACAAAGCAATGAGGTCACCCCTCAGCCTCCTTTCCTCCAAACTAGACAAGCCCAAAGTCCTTAGCCGCTCCTCACAGGACATTCCTTCCAGCCCTTTCACCAGCTTTGTCACCCTCCTCCTGACGCATTCAAGGACCTTCCCATCCTTCTTAGACTGTGGGGCCCAGAACTGCACACAGGACTCAAGGTGAGGCCAGACCGCCACTGAACACAGTGGGATCATTGCTTCTCTTGATTTGGTTATGCTCTGTTTGATGCACAGCAGGATGAGGTTTGTCCTCTCGGCTGCCAGGGACACTGCTGACTCGTGTTGAGCCTGGTGTCAACCAGCACACCCTGATCCCTGTCTGCAGGGCTGCTCTCCAGCCACTCCTCTCCCTATTTATACTTGTGCCCAGCATTGCTTGTCCGAGGTGCACATTCTGGCATTAACACTTGTTAAATTTCATCCCATTAATGATTGCCCATGCTGCAATCTATCTAGATCCCTCTGCAAGGCTGCCACTGTATTGCAGCCCATGAGAGGAAGAGCACTGTGCTACTGTATGTAAAACTGGAATGACTTTGTATGCCATGTCGTGGCTGATTAATGTAACAGCAGCATTACAGTAATTACACGGTGCTATTTTCTATCTTAACACCTTGCTAGTTTGCTTGTCTCTTGTCAGGACAGCACATCAAGCAGAACTTTCTGTGAGCTGTTCCTTTGTGTCTCCCGCTGTGTCTTCTCTTGCAGCTTTCTTTTATCTAGAACATATCTGTTGGCAAGAATAGCGAGAGTTCCTTACTTTGATACACTGTTTGTCAAGCCATTTTGTCACTGTGATAGTGCATGTTCATCCAGTTTTATGAAGTATCTATGAAGTTCCTTGGGTTTTTTTCTAATTTAATTTCAACTAAAATCTGCATCAACTCTCTATTCAAATCTTTTCCTGAAACACATACAAGCATATTAAACAGCATCATATCTAAACCAGAAAATTGGGACACTTTGTTAATCCTTTGCTTTTTCTCAACATCGATCATTGTATTTCAGCTCTTTATTTTTCCTTTGTTTAGCCAACTTGCAATCCCA